CGGATTCGGGTTCGGTTACTGAACAGTTCAGCCATGAAGTTCGGGTCCGGATTCGGTTCGGTGTCGGCAAAAATCGGTCGAGTAATTTGGCCGAAAAGTTGTAAAGAAAATTTAAAAAAATTATAAAAATTTAAATTTCTTAAATTTGAGTGCCTCTGTAGAGTTTATGAATGCGAAAAGAGAAATTTTATTTCTATGTGTGAACAGCCAGAAAGAATTTTCTGTTACATTTCGGAAATCAGTTTCAGAAATAAAAGTTGCAAAATGTGACTGCAAGTGAAAGAGCAAAATTCGATTTCGAAAATATATTTCAACTCGCTCGTGCTGCAGTAGCAGTTTTTATTTCTGCTGCATGTTCTGCCAAACTAACCGAGTGTTGCCGTGTGACACTTTTAAGTAATTATTTTGCGGAATTCAATATAATTAGGGCTCGGAATCTCATGCAAATGCATTTATTTATTGGGCATATTCAGATGGAAATTGTTAAGTCATCTTTACGAATTTTTAATTTCATTTAAAATGGCATTCAATTGTTAATGCATACTTTTGCATATTTTGCAAAAAATTCCTGATTTAAAATTTATAATAATCTAATGTGGGTTTTGCATATTTTTGCTTTTTATGATTTAAAACCATTTAAATTTAATGCGAAATCTCTTGAAAAAAATCCCTTTGGCAAGCTAGGTGCAGCTCCGTACTAAGTGTGTCTCACGCTGTGGGCGCCTCGCTCAGGAAGATAACAGCAACAATTACCGAAATTTATCACTCGAAGGCCAAGCAGAAGGGGAACCATACAGGATCGTACAGGATTACCCGGCAGTTCTGGGTGTCCTATGACCCACTTAAATCCAAAGCTCTTTTAGGAATGAGCAAAGAAGATACCTAAAAACTTACTGCAGTATACACAGGGCACTGCCACGTTGGGGTACATGCCAGGGATAAAAAAGTAGGCACAATTGTACCTTTTTCCGACGTTTGATGACTTAAAGGTACATTAGGTACAATCGTTAGTTTCTAGGTACAATCATCTGTATCAGATTCATTTTTAGTTTTTTTTTTTTCTTTTTCCTTTGCCGTGCTAATATATTTACTTTGTAGGCACGGGAGAATCTTCACTATCTTCGTCTTCTTATTTTCTGGCGCTGTAACCGCCTAAGTGATTTTGGCCGAGTTCAGCAAAGCACGCCAGTCGTTTCTCCTCTGTGCCAACTGACGCCAATTGGAAACGCCAAGTAAAGCCAAGTCCTTCTCCACCCGATCTTTCCATCGCAGTGGGGGCCTCCCTCTTCCTCTGCTACCACCAGCGGGTTCCGAGTTGAATATTTTCAGAGCGTCGGCGTCCATTCGAACGACATGACCAAGCCAGGGGAGCCGCTGTATTTTAATTCACTGCACTATGTCCATATCGTTGTAAAGCTCATACAGCTCATCGTTCCATCGTGTGCGGTACTCGCCGTCGTTAACGCGTAAAGGCTCCTGAAATTTACCGTTAGATGAAAAGTGGCCGTAATTTCCGATTTCAATAATTGTCAATGTTTCGCTATAATGTAGCAAGCACAATAACCATACTGAGTTTGGCAAAAATTGGTAGAACGGTTACCGAGATACATATATGTATGTGATCATAAGTGAGCGGAGCCACGCCCATTTTCCAAGAAAAGAATTATTGCAAGCATAAATTTTGAATGAATTAGCTTTAGTATTTACTGATTTATCGAAGATTTCATATTTCTCTAAATTACCGGTATATGGGATGTGGGCGTGGTTATTGTCCGATTTTGAAAATTTTCAGCCATTTGGTATTTTGTACCAACGCCAACAACTGTGCCATGTTGGAGAGAAATTAATTAAGCGGTTACCAAGGTATACACACGTAATCATAAGTGGGCGTGGCTACGCCCGTTTCCCAAAAATTTATAATACTCTTATTTTTCGTCTAAAAACCATCATAAATATCAATTTTGAGTGAATAGGCTTGAGTAGTTACTAAAATATAGCAGTTTTCGTATTTCTGAAAACTACCGTTATATGGGAGGTAGGCGTGGTTTTTGTCCGTTTTTACCCATTTTCAACACCGTCCGTCTTACGCCCGAAAGAAGTACGCGTACCAAGTTTCGTTAAGATATCTTAATTTTTACTCGAGTTATCGTGTGCACAGACGGACGGACGGGCAGACAGACAGACAGTCACCGCTTAATCGATTTCTCTTTTCATTCTGATTTCACACCTTCATTCGAGAGAGGGGAGTACGTCGGTCTAGGGCCCAATGACATTTTATGGAAGAAATTAGTTCGAATTTCTAATATGAAAAGTATAACAGGAATTTGAGGATAGCTAAGTTAAGTGTCCATTTTTGGGCTTTTTTAAATGCAAGTTAAAATGTTTAAGAGAATTCGTAAAAGGGGTATTCTCGCAGTCTTGCAAATCCCTTGCACGGTGCACGGTTTGCAAAGCTGTCCCATACGAAAACCGGTTTTTACCATGCAATCTGTGCACCGTGCAAGGGCTTTGCAAGACTCACAGAATACCCCTAATATGATTTTATTAATCTCTTCCTTTTGACAGGTTTCTTTCGAATTGTTTATTTTTCAAAATGAAAACGAAGCTTCTCCCATGTCAACAAGTAAATATATTAGCACGGTGAAAGCAAAAAAAAATAAAAATGCATCTGATGAAAAGATGATTGTGCCTAAAATCTAGTGATTGTCCCTAATGTACCTTTAGGTCAGCAAACGTCGGAAAAAGGTACAATTTGTCCTACTTTTTCATCCCTGCTCTGAACTACTGCAGAGCAAGACAGTTGAAACTTGCGGTGTGCAAGCCCTCAAAGTTTCTCACATTTAGCATGTGAAAGCTAAGAAGTAAATGCACAAATTCTCACTTCTCGTACAATATGAATATAGCTCCGAGCTCGTTGGTCGAGTGTTCGAATCGCGGTGCAGGCAGAGTGATTTTCAGATTTAATAAACTTAAATTGTTGCGGGCCGATTAAAAATTGAAGAGGAAAAGATGAAGTTTAATACATATAAGTAAAAGAAGAAAAAAAACTAAAAAAATATCAAAAAATGGAATAATCAAAATTGTTTCCCATAACAAACTCATTGTCCTAGATCTGTTCAAAATATAACCAGTTCAGAACGAGTTCAAAAGCTCTGTAGAGGAGGGCGATTGCCACTTTGTAGGACATCGCCATGTTAAAAAAGACAGTTGAAACCATTAATTTGGGATAGATGAAAAACCAGTACCGTCCGTTTTCAAGCTAGTTTGGCGCTAGATCTGAACCAGTTCGATTTGCTTCAGGGACATTACATATATGTACATATGTACAAGTACAAACAAATATGAATACACCATTGCAAATCAACCAAACTTTTCATATCGTCACGCTTATACCAGAAGCATGAGCATGTGCAAATTTATCAGTTTTGAATTATTGGGTAGACTTGATTAACCTTTGGATGTTATGTGTTATACCAAAATCCAGAATAACATGCGTACACCGGAAACCTCATATTTTACATTTTCAATTGCCTAAATGTATAGTTAAGTCTCGTAAAAAACACTTTCCAACGTGATTTCCCAAAATTTCCATTTGTGCACATTTATGTTTCTGGCATACGGGCAACGATATATGTAAATATGTATGTATGTACATTTATATACAAGTAGGTGTATTTTACGAGAATATGCAAGGGCGTAGCCAGCGGTCGACCTTGGGGGGAAGGAGTTTGAATAGACGCAAACAATGAGTTTTATTAAATTTAACCTTTGGTGTATACATATAAAACGAATTGTTTGATTTTATACAAGAATAAGTTTGCGTATTTAAAATTGTGTAAAACTCATTTTCAAATCACATACTTAAACTGTAGTTAAATTACCAATATTGGCAATTTAATGTAACCTTGCGTTTGTACCAAACAACAATCAGCTGCAAGGTTGCCACTTTGGTAAATTATTACCAAAACTTGTAGAAAAAATGTGGGTTGGTAAAAATGTATATTTTTTATCATTTTGGTAAATTTTTGTTACAGTATTTTGTTTGAAAACCAAATAAAATTTAGCTCCCGCTTTATTTTTCGTAGTTAACTTGATATTATAAATTTCTTTCCAAAGTGTAGTTTACTTTATTGCATTAATTTTCGAACGCTTTAATGAGCGGCAATTTTTAGCTGCAAATTGGTGGTTTACAAAAATTTCCATAGACTATAAAACTGCATACCAAAAATTGTTCTAAATATTCAGGGTAAAAATATCGAAATTTTGACGAAATTTTTTTGAATCTACGTGTTGAATCTAAGTGTTGTATATAGCTTGATTCCTTGACTTTTATGGGTTTGGTTGAAACGCGATCAATATTCTTATACAAAAAAATGCAAACAATTTTTTCATCAAAAACATTGAGAATATTAAAAAATCCCCAACCGGTTGTTTGATTCATTGCATTTGGTTACAACACCGTTCGGCAAAAACAAAAATATTTCAAAACGCACGAAACAATCAATTTATATTTTTTGTCAAGTGGATGGTAAGTATTTTTATCGTCAGTGACAACCCGGATCAGCTGTTCAGCCGAAAATATAAACAACCAAACGAATGCAACAACAATTTAACGAAACAAGCAACAGTGTTGGCATATTCAAATAAGTTGATCTGAAACCCACCTAAGATAAATAGCAATACAAAATTAAACTCAAGTGACATTTAACTTTTTCATCTGAAATTGGCCCTTAGACCTTTCAAATGGTAAGTATGCTATAAACACATAAATCGAAAGCTGAATATAGAGCTTATTAACATTTATAAAACGTTAAAATATTTGTTGAGTCAAGCGTGGGGCAGCTGCCCCACTTACTATCCCCTGTATAAGATCATGTATTCATATACAAATGTAAATATATAGTATGTATGTATGTACATACATGCATTTGTATGTACTTGTGGTTAGGTAATGGCACCGCTGAATAAACTATAAAAGGCAAAGAATCTGTCTCATTTGGTATTCAATTTTCCGATATTTTCTTGAGAGCTTGAACAGTCTGACTAGTTAAAAAAATAAATAAATATTAAAATGCAATCCATATTTCAATTTGTTATGCTTTTACTGGCGCCAGTTGTTTTATTGAGCGGTAAGCTATTCTATACTTTGTAAACCAAGTACGTAGTTATATACATATGTATATATATGAAATATATTTTTCATGCAGGTCATACATTAGCTCAGCAACACGGTGGGGGCAATCCAGGCGCCCCTGGCGCTCCACCCGGCGGTCCAGGCGCTCCAGGAAATCCGGGAGCGAAGCACTTCGGTTGAATATACGACTTTTATTTTAATTAAGCTATACATACATAAGTACCTGCATAAAGAATTTAAGAAAATGCATCGCTCTCAATAAAGCGGACACCGGTTAACGATGTCGGTAAAACTGTAAATTTACAGAGATTTTTTCCCTCTTAAAAATTTTAGCTCCAAGTTTGGGGTTGAACTCCACTGAGTATTTGTAAGATCTACTTTCCAACAATATTTTTACTTATAACAAGTACAAAACAATGTACCTATAAGTTCGGACGAATCTTGATTTTATGTACCCGGCGCAGGTATCAAATATTGCCGTTTCAACTTTCTCTGAGCCAGGGGTTCTTAAACTTTTAAGATGATGGAACCCTTACTAAACACCTTTTATTTTAAGGAACCCCACATCAAATAACTAAAAATCAAAGGCAGTGCAATTTAAATACGGAAAAAAACTAGAAATATTATACATATGTACTTTAAATTTTAATGTGAAGAATGACATTGTTTCACTCTTATTAATTATTGTATAAAATAGTAATTCGATATAATACCTGAAAGCTGTATGCGCATTACTGGGGTAGCATCCAATTTCGGCCTAAATTTGTTTTTTGTATAAGTGTAAGCTGAAAACACTGTTGACAGAGTACGTTGTGGCAGAATAAAGCAAAATTTAGATGGCCTTTTTAGCGACTTCATGATATTTACTCTTAACACTAACCCAAAGCTCTTTCAGAGACACAGATTCAAATGTATGTTTCAATGTGACCAGAATTTTTTAACATTCCAGGAGAACAAATGCTCCACATTGAAAATGCAAAAAATGTTTCTATATTTATTTTAACACATAAATAACGATAAATTAACAATTCAAAGTTTCTCTAAACACAAGCCAAACAAGTTAATAGTAGATCCACTGCGTTGAATAATTATAAGACCGCCACACATTAACAAGTATTTACAATTTATTTTAAAATTATTTAATTGTAATTGTATTACTTTCATAAGCAATTGCTTTTGTCTTTCGTCAATATTCGATTATAATTTCGTATCAACGCTATACCTCGTTCAGCAATATCATTAATATATTTAATGCTCTCCATCGTCTCTAAGCCAAACAACTTCAGGGTTATTTTTTAGAGAATTAATGCAGGGTCCGTAAATAACAGTTATTTTTTTCAACAGTTAAATTTGGCCAGATATTTTCAAGTTAAAAAATTTATTTTCCTAATAATAAACAAACAGTTTATCCAAATTAAGCAAATTTGGTATCAAATGAAAGAGGACTTATATAGCTGAAGAACGAACGAACTTCTATTTATGTTTTTTTTTTATAAATTAATACAAAATAAATTCATATACCTGACCCCAGGTTTGTTCTATGGTATATAAATAAAATTTTTTATTGAAATATTTTTCAATAGCTGGCTTTCGGCTGGCTTTCCTCGTTTAAACATTTCACTTTCAAAGCTATTTTAGTCATCTTTCATTTGATACCAAACTTGTTTTATTTGGATAAGCGGTTTCTTTGTTATTAGGAAGACTTTTATTTTCGACTTAAAAATGTCTGTCCAAATTTAACTGTTGAAAAAATAACTGTTATTTATGGACCCTGAATTAATGCGCTCCAAAATATGCCTAGAAAAAACGTGTATCCCTTTTATATAACTTTTTTAACGGTTCAAAAGTTATAACATTTTTGATGAAAACAAATTTTCTTACATGTTATTTACATACACAGAAAATTTCAAATGCTCACCGACACCTTTTAAAATTGAAATAACAAATATTCCCAATGCGAGAATATCCTTCTCAGTATATAGGTAATTTTACGGACATAAATTCGCTAGATTACTTATTTTGGATCACCCTAATGTATATATGTATATACAAGAATTACTCGTTTACAGTAATAAGAGTAAGTGACGAATTTCCCGGAAAGCATAAAAATTGCAAATAAAAATTTATTTAAAAATTTATTTTAAAGAATTACGTCATATATCAATTTAAGGTGCAAGCTGCAGTTGCAGTTGACCGGGTTTGACACGAAAGTAAAACGTAACAGAAAAGTCGTTAGTGAGCAGTATAATCTATTGAAAAATATTAAAGAAAACGCCATTAGTGTAGAATAGGTCAATACATACATATATGGGCATATTTCCATAACATTTGATTTTCGACATTGGATAAAAAAAGTTGTGGCAGGATCATCTAACCGATTTCACTTTATCATTTCAACCTTGAAACATATGTAATTAAAAAAAAAATGGAAACTCAATTTTCAAGCTCGGTAAAGTAAAAAAAGAATTTGTTTTTTTGTTATTTTTTGGCCTTATAACAATTATATTCAACAATTTTTATTGGGCTCGAGGCCGTTTTTTAAAGAAAATTTATAGTGGAAAAGCAACATAACGAGATTTTCAAAACTCGGTTTGGCGGATCCAATATGGCGGTCAAAGATACCAAATATTAAAAGAATTATATTCTTTTTAAAAATTTTACCGCCATATTGAATCTGCCATCATAAATTTTGAAAATCTGACTTTATGTTCATAATTAGCGGGTCCAAAAACCCCTCGGTAAAATAAATAAAGTAAATCCATCATAGCCGAAGACAGCTTTGCTCTTACTTGTTTTTTTTTTTATCTAATATATGAATGGCACAACTAGGGTTGCCAACCGTTTTATAATATATAGTATTATACTATTTTTCGGACAGCGTACTATATACTGTTGAAAAAAAAAATATTATATTTCTTTTGCAAAAAAAAGCTGTTTTAAAGTGACCTGTATGTATACTGTAATATTCTTTGAAGTATAGGGTCGCAGTTAGTTTATAATAAACAATAGCAACACATTTTTAAAACTACTGAGAATGAATTACGAAATTTACTTAAATTTATTTCATTTCTACTCTCTAATCCTGCAACTTCGTCATTCACAGAAATAGTTTTTTCTATTATTAATATGAAATAGCGAGCTTAAAGAAACAAAGGGACTTCCTCACTAATAAAAAATTAACTTTTGATTTATATTAATTTAAATTTTTATTCCGATAAAGCATGTGAATCTTCCATAGTCCTCAAGGTATTGTTGAACACTGCCAAAAGGGCAAAGAAATATATTTTTTTATAAAAGAAATACATAAGAAAGAAAAAAAGATGTATACATACACATTTGAGGTGTACTATATGTTTTCGGATTTTTTTTTAAGTACTATGAATATCTTAGAAAATGTTGGCAACCCTAGGCACACCTACGTGTATAATATTTTTATAATACTTATAGACTTAAGACATATTCCCTGAAGGAAATTCTGCATGCAAAAGAAAGAAACAATGCTCAATCATTGCTTGGACTGTTTATTATGAGATATTTTCTTTTGAAAAATACCCAACAGATAGCAGAGGCGTATGTATATTCAATACGCTCTATCTGCAATTCTCACAAAAACTACTTTGTGATGTTAGAACCCATCCGGGACTTACCTGTCATCACTTATGTTGATTCTGACTTTGCAATTTAATAGCAAACTCTTCAGTCAGGCGTTGTACCAGGTCAGCATTAATATCACCGATGACAGTTAAGTTTTAAGCGGATTTTTATATCTGAATCTATTTTTTGTGAAAAGTTCAGATAGAGGGCAATGAATATAAGCCCTCGATATTTGATCTGAACCTTAAATATTTAAATTCCTTAAAGAGGTATGACTTTTATAAATTAAAAACAATTTTAAAAGAACTTCTTCAAAAGCCCTTTTGGAAGCTCTTCTTCGAGTAGCGAAAGCAGGAGCACACCGTATACCGTACCCTCCGTTTGCCACTCCGTACAAAAAAGAAAGGAGAAAGAAATGACTTTCAGAAAGGCTGCGTAGAATGTGTAACCCCTCAGCCGTATATGGCCGTGTACCTGTTCAGGAAATTGAGCTTTTTTGGCATTTACCTGAAGGTGCAAAATTAGATTTTAACCAAATAAACTAAACAGAAGAAGGTAAACCAAAAAAAGGAAAGCGAGGGATAACTAAAAACATAAAACATAACATAAAAAAAATAAAAAAATTGAATGATTAATTAATTTGCCGGAAACTATCAGTCCGAGTGGAACCACTTTTTGTTTTAAGCTAAATAACGGTAAATTGGAAATATATACCGAAAACGCATCCATAGAAAAAAAATTAACTCCATTTCCGGAATCACTGAGGAATTCTACATAGAAATTGGATAGTGGCGTCTAGAGAACAAAAACCAAAATAAAATTTGTGATCCAGTGTTATAAGCGAATAAAACAAAACGGAACGGATAATAAATTTAATCAGATCTCTATCAAGATCATATCGTTGTTGTTGAATTTGCATGCAAAATTTTTACGCGGATTCCGATCATTGCCTAAGAAAACAATAATAGAAGTTGCAACTCGCATTGGCTTCAGTTTATCAAGTTTATTCAGTGAAATCGCAGGAGAAATTTATCAGAAATGTCAGAGTTTCGATACAAATTTTTACAGTTAATTTATAAGGTTTACACAATTACAAATTTATACGGTTTATAATGCATTTACAAGGTTTGATAAATACCCTTATTATTCGTTAAGCTAAAAGGCGTTTACACTGTTCAATTTTCACAGGCAATTAGTTCAATCAAATGTTTACACCCGTTAGCTGAAAGTTGAACAATGTAAACGCCTTTTAAATACAATGATTGTGTACGATTAGGAAATAATTAAATTTTTTGAAAATTTCATCACTGCTATAAAACTTGAAAAGGAGGACAAGGGGGACATTTTTGCTCAAAAGGAGGACAGAGAAGGACAAAATTTTTGGGGAGGATAAATCACGTTTGAGGAGGACAATCCTAACAGAAACTATAAGCCTTAGAAATTTTACAAGAATATCTCGGACGTAAATATAAATAAATATCTTTATTTCTTTTCAAACGATCTCTGTATACCACCGATTCAAAAATAAGATCTACTAACTAATATGACTGTAAAATATTTTAAATATTAAGAAAATTAATTGGTTTTTGTTTATTTTTGTTCCGAAAGATTTTGTTTAAATTTGTTTTGATTTTGTTTTAATAAATCTTTTTTATATAGGAAAAATAATACGTTTTTTTAAAAGCCGCTTAAAAGGGCTAAAAAATATGTTTACCATTCTAGGGTTAACCAATTGTTTGGTTAATATATGTCCAATATACTTATTGAGTCAAATATAAACATTTCATGAGCATCCTCTAAACTATACTTAGTGCATTTCTCAAGTAGGTTTTAAAATTTATCTGCCCTTCAAACAAATTTGTATGCCCGAGCGCACTTGTGCACAAGGATATTATAACTTTGTTCACATAACGGTTGTTTGTAACAGGCAAAACGAATCGAGATAGATATAGACAAATGTATACATAAATGATCAGAATGAAAAGAGAAATCGATTAAGCGGTGACTGTCTGTCCGTCCGTCCGTCCGTCTGTGCACACGATAACTCGAGTAAAAATTGAGATATCTTAACGAAACTTACCATGTATACTTCTTTTCGGCGTAGGACGAATGTTATTGAAAATGGGCCAAATCGGACAATAACCACGCCTACCTCCCATATAACGGAAGTTTTCAGAAATACGAAAACTGCGATATTTTAGTAACTACTCAAGCCTATTCACTCAAAATTGATATTTACAATCATTTTTAGGCGACAAATAAGAGTATATACATTTTTGGAAAATGGTAACCGCTCCACCAATTTCTCCCAATACTTGGCACAATTGTTGACCTTGGTACAACGTAACAAATGGCTGAAAATTTTTAAAATCGGGCAATAACCACGTCCACATATTATAAGACGGTAATTTAGAGAAATACGAAATCTTCGATAAATCAGTAGCTTCTAAAGCTAATTTATTCCAAATTGATGCTTGCAACAATTCTTTACCAAGAAATACGTTTGTGATACAATTTCGGAAAATGGGCGTGGCACCGCCCTCTTATGATCAGATACATGTATCTCGGTTACCGTTCTACTAATTTGGACCAAACTCGGTATGGTTATTGTGCTTGCCACATAGAAGCCAAACGTTGAAAATTTTTGAAATCGGACTAAAATTATGGTCACTTTTCATATAACGGGAAATTTCAGAAACGCTTGTAACTTCTATATTTCGAAATTTAAGGAACTAATTTACTCAAAATTTGTACTAACAACAATCCCTTGAAAAAAAGTAACATTATTTGGAATTTTGGAAAATGGGCGTGATGCCGCCCACATATGACTATATAAGTTTATCTCGTTATGTCCAACCGAACGTTCTATCGAAGATGTTTAAAATAGGGGTAAAACGACCCCGGCTTACCATGTAGCGGTAGTTTTCGGAAAGGTGAAAAACATATATTTAATACTTGCGAGGGTATTTATTGTTCGACTCCGCCCGAACTTAGATTTTCTTACTTGTTTCCAAAGAAAATTTGTGTTTAGCATCCAGAAAAGTTGGGGAAGGAAACTATTGCTAGCGCTCATAATAAACAAAGTTATATTCATACATATGAATATATTTATGCACATACATACACACATATGTATGAATACAGAAAACCAAAATGATATGCAAATTTAAAAATTCTAAACAAATTTATTGAAAAATTTTATATACATACATATGTATGAATCTATTATAGCTATGTATGTATATCACTAACTCAACTTTCATTTGAAAGCCAGTCCTTAATTAGATATATTGGGTACTTTAATTTTGTCATAGCTTGCCAAAAACGATTAGCCATTTGTGTTACTTTGAAATTTTCATCGCCAAAAAGTTCGCTAAAGTAACAGTCTTAATATTCTTGACAGGAAATCTTCCATTTCCTTCGAGATCAGTAGGATCTCTAGTGACTATTTACATATGCGATTTTTTCAATGCACCTAATTATGGGTTAATATTTAACATTCTAATGTGGTTGCTAAATTTCTAATAAATTAATTTAATTTTACGCATCTTCATTTCGGTGGCAATGCATATATTAATTTGGTGTGCGCGCTCGCAGGAGTCTTCGGCATTTATGAACTTTTTGCAATTGTCAGCTGTAGCCATTGCGATTGAAGTAATTAAAGGATTGTTGTTACCGACCTGTAAGCATTTTGGAATTAGGAATATATGTATATGTATGTATGTAAGTATGAGTTGATAATATTTTAGTAGGCTGTGTACTCACTATGTTGGCAATGCGACCAATTGCCGCTGTAGACAACGTATTATCCTTGTCCATCTGGAAGTTAAGGGAAATTGTTATGTATTTAAATTAAAGCCCAAAAAATTCCAAATTTACTCACCACTTCCATCCGCTTTAAAATGCATTCAATGAGACACTTCTCCTTGCGAGTTGGCTGATCTTCGTAAAGCAAAGATTTTTGCAATTCATCGGCACTAAAACCCATCCCATTTGCGCACTGAGTTTTCGAATTTGTTATAAAATCCTGAAACTCCTGCATGGGCTGCGTTAATTGGCGTTTTGTGCGTTTATAGTCCCCCAATTCCAAAGAATTCTGGCGTGTCATCAAAGGTTTGCGTTTTCCAGATAGCTTGTAAGGGTTAGTGTCGAGTGCATTTAGCTGTGGTATATAGGTAAAGAAAATCAGATATAAGAAAATTTATTTATTAAGCTAAGTTAAGAAATTTACACTTTGAAAAGCGGCCAGGCAAAGTATAACGGTACATAACATCTTGTTTCTTAGACTTATCATTTTCTTAATGAATTTTTTGTATGCTTGCAGGTCTGTAAATTCTGAAGTGCTAATCAAAAAACTTTCGCTTTTATAGTAGTCTTCACGTTTGTGAAAACGCATGCTTTAAGCTGAGTTTTGCTGGCGTAATCAGAATTTTTTAAAGTTGACGGTTTATTCGTTTCTTATTATTATTATTACTTTTGAAACTAAAAAAAACTTCAAGTTCAAGTGTATTATTGTTTTTCTAGAGCAAATACTTTTGCGTAAGCGTTTTACGATTAATTTAAATTATGTTTTACAATTCAGACGACCGTGAAAGTGCAAATGAATGTAGTAAAGTCACTGAAATATGTTACCTTTTTGAGGAACAGTCGAAACTCGATAAACCGCCTATTTTACAGTGAGCGTGCCACCTTTTTTGTGGGTATGTAAACATTGCGTAACTCTGACAGTTATCAACCGCCTTATCAGTGCGCCTTAACACCCTGTTTTTAATTATTAAATAATCAGGAATCAAATGGAAGATTTATAAACAATGAGTTGTATAATCTTCACAACGACATCGACATACATTGTACGATGGGATGCAAATGTTCCGACCCTGAGGTACCCACTGGTGACGGGCGCAAGATGCGCTGATTTCGTGGATGCGGATGTCTAACAGCTAACATCCGCGGATGCGGATACGAATGGGGATGTCAAGTATTTTCAAGAAACCATTAGAATCTAGCATAATGGTGAGTTCGTTGTTTAAACAGCGCTTACAAACCAAACCAGATGTGTCAGCTTTTTCTGAAGCTTTTTAAAAGGAATTCTTCATTCTCATTCCTTTGGCTGTTTCAGAGTTTGGGGAATCTGTAACTTCATCAGTGTTTTTGTTTTTGTAATTCATTTATAATACTTTCTTCTGCGACTGGTTTGATAAATTTGTGCTTACAGTGAGCTAAATAGGTGGATATGGAAAATAATTAAAAAAAGTTGCAAAAAACAAGTAGAGTGTGATTTTAACCAGACCCACCTACCGATATGTATTTCGACGCACTGAATCCGAATCTGAGGTCCGTTTGACTCGTACACCACCAAAATTTCGATTTAATTGCGAAAATTGTATGAAAAAGGCAAAAAATTCGCAACTTTCACGAAATTTTGAGGGCGTACGAGTCAAATTTCAATTTGTTCGCCTTTTTTTCGGTTTTTCGTAATGCGAGTCAAACGGACCCCAGTTTTGGAACTTATGGATATAATAATCTTTTTTCGATTTCGTTATCGATTTTGTAATCGATGTTTTTAACTATTTTGTTAGCGATATTTTGATCGATTTTGTTATCGATAATTTTAATCGATTTTGTTATCGATATTTATCGATTTTTTCCGATATTTTTACCGATTTTGTTATCAATATTTTTATCGATTTTTTTATCAATATTTTTATTGATTTTGTTATCGATAGTTATCGCTTATGTTATNTTCGATATTTTTACCGATTTTGTTACCGATATTTATCGATTTTGTTATCAATATTTTTATCGATTTTGTTATCAATATTTTTATTGATTTTGTTATCGATAGTTATCGCTTATGTTATCGATATTTATCGATTTTGTTATTGATATTTATCGATTTGGTATTAAGTGGTTTTCAAGTTCGCTTATTACAAATTTCAAACTAGTTTTTAAAATGTTTATTCATCTTATGCTTCATATATTCATAGTACTACTAAAAGTACTAGTTTAAAAGTTCAAAAAGCAAGATCCAATATGGCATCCGAAATTTCCAAAAATTCAAAAGCTAATAACTTGATTGAAAAATGAGAAAACTGAAGTTTTGGAAATGACGAATTTCCTATAAAATAAAAAAATCTTAAAAAAGTATTGGTCCCTAGGTCAAATTGTTTTGGCAGAACGTATAGCAAACGGCCTCAAATTTTCACCATTCATAAATATAATTACTGTTGTTATATCATAGCTTGAATACCAGAAATCATTGATTTTGCTAAACAAATACATTTGCTACTCAATTGAAAATGACAATTGACTTGGCAGTTGTCAACCGAAAAAGTATGAATGTGATATAGAACTCAAGATCGGTGAGCCTTAATACATGTTAACTGTCAAACTATAAATTTTATGGCATATTCGGTTTTAGCATTACAACAATACTACGATCCTGCAGTTTTATTACAATCGTAATAGTCCTTCACGGCGATTATCCCCTCAGCAAAGCGCCCAAGTTAATGAAAAGCTTCGAGTGCATTCGTCGCGAATTCATGCAGCAGCGCAATGGAATGGAACAAGGCGCATCTACATAAGGTGGTGTTACTAGAACAGCTTATTTGATTTTTTAGTCTCTACTCTAGTACAGCAAATTGTCATCCAAGGTTCAAACTAAAGAAAATGGTCTTAAAACTTTTTCAAAATGTTTTCAGATCAAAGAAAAGGTGAAACACGACACTTTTTAAGGTAATTTTAAAGCTCCAAATATACGGGACTATTTTTCCTAAATTCTTTGGCACTTGAGCTATAAAACGCAGTTGCATTCAATTCGCTATCTTATCTCAATATGTTAGATATTTTCGCGAAAAAAATCGATTTTTCACACTGTGCGCCGACCGGCTAGTGTACGGCAGTGCCGCGTTCATAAGTATTAAACCCATGCACGATAACACAAAAAGGTAACATGTTAATAATCGCCGCAGCGTGGCCTCGTCGATTATTCGAGGCTTGGTTTAATACGTCTTGTCCATCAAATTCAATACCACGTATGAGATAATAGCGAATAATAATTTTGAACCTCCATATGCTGTAAGAGGTACTGCGCGCCATTTTAACTAAAATTATGGTTTAATTATCATCTTTAGCCACAAACTAAATATGCCACTAAATTTTTATTGAAAGCAATCTAAGTAAAAAAACAAAATACATGTGTTTGATCGTGTTATCAATTTTACTCCAAAGAGCGCTGTACGCATACAATTTCACTGCTCGACCTCAGGTATTTCATAATTACGCGACTGCATTTCTTTCAGCATACACATTGCATATGAATGGGCTACTTCGCACCTATTTAATAGAAAATTGCTTAGTGTTAGTAATGAAATTACTTTCCAACTTACTTCTCTTCGATGCCCATTTGATTGTTTTGCTCGTTACAGCCATCTGATATTTCGCTCAGCTCATCCATTTTATCAGGATACAGCAAAAGCATGCCGTACGCCAACTTCTCGGTATGAACTTGTGTTCCACCTTCTACGAACTGCGTAAATAGAAATGTTATTATTTCAAAATTTGCAAAAAAAATATTTTACTATATTTCATACCAATTCAAACTGATCCATTAGGCAACGACGGAAGCATTTCGTTGCATGCTGTGCGTCCTCTTTAAACAAGAAGAGTTCCTCCATGTGTTCTTAAAGAATTAACAAAGTACAGTAAATATGTATGCACTCTGTTCCAGAACTTTGAGATGAATTACAATTTGTAATGTTTAGAAACTCACCCAGTTCAGGCTTCGGATCACATTTATTGGCATAAGGTGCAACGCCTTCCAGCAAAAGGCCCATAGGCAGCTTCATGATATCATTAGCCTGGAAGGGAAATTAAAAATCAAAACAGCGGATTACAACAGATATCTCTCGAGGGACTAGTTTGTGAACTGCTTAAAAAATAAAATTAAAAGATTTAGAAAGCCACATCGAACATGATATTTTAATAATTCCCGCAACACTGCGGATGTGATTACAACTCGAACAAGACCGAATTCTCAACATTCCTATACTCATATCGAGTTAACCGCTACCGGCCGCATGGCGTTGATAGCAGCAAGACTATCTTCAAGAAAGGCGAGTCTTGAATAAACAAGGACGATCATATTTACCAAGTTTGGACAGATCTCAGACAAAAAAATATTGCAGTAATCTAGAAGTAAGCTTGATTCTGTTCTGATGTCCATTTCGGAACCATCGGTGAGGATTGGGATCTCGATGTTGCTTGAAATGGCGTCAGATAGCCAGTCTCTTCTGTGGATAACTTCGAATTTCTTCAAAATCTTGCTTTATAAACACTCTCAAAAAGTTACAGCAAATTGAATGCTTCGCTCAGCTCGGTAGGGCTATAGTATGTGAGTACGTACACTCAGGCCTTCCTCCTCCCGACGCTGGGAAATCATTAGCACCGCGCACAGTGTCGCCTAAGTGGGCAAAAATTAGGGTTGCCATACGTACCCCATTGGGGGGAACATACCCCATTTTGACTCTTTTCCTCCCCTTGCTACGGAAGGTTGCGTAGGTCCCCCATTTTTGCCCGAAATCGTTCACTTTTCGCTTAAAGCGTGTTTGTCTTGTTCAACTTTCACAGACGATTAGTTGAATCAAAGTTGAACGAAAAGTATAGATTTTATTTAAAAATATTCGTATGCCATATTTAAGGTTAAATATGTACACATATGTATATGTAAATATATTTTTTATGTACATACACTGGCGATCAAAACTGAGAGAATGGCGATTTTTTTAAATATCTACAGTGATTTTCAAGTTAATTGTTTTGTTATTTTTTATAAAAACACTATTTATACTTTAAACAAAACCATATACAAATTTTAGAAAAATGCAACCAATTTCCATAAAAATTTTGAACTTTTTAATCTTGTTGATTTTTTGTAAATTTTTTTTTTTTGCAAACGTTCTATCATCATTTTCTTCAAATTCATCTTCGTATGGAAAAAGACCATCAGAAAAAAAGTATCAAAGTGCTATGTGGTTTTTAGCCGCGTAAAACTTTAGCCATGTAACCATGTAGCTGCATATCCAAGAATTCAGATTTAAAAGTGCCAAATTTTTATGGAAATTTGTAGCATTTTTCTAGAGTTTGTATTCAGTTTGAAAGTTTTAATTTGGTTTTGGCTAAAGCATGAAAAATATTTTTATAAAATATAACCAAAAATGTACTTGAAAGACACTGTAAATATTTAAAATAAGATCACCATGCACTCAGTTTTGATCGCCAGTGTAACTTTTGTTTTGTTCAAATGTTATTGATTTTTTATTTTCGAACGGTTTTGTTGTTCCATAAGCGAATA